TCTGGAGGCATTCGCAACACGTGCCCAAGCCATCGCAGCTGTGACTTCTCAATTTGGAGAAGCAAAGGCTTTGTCGACCGTTATTGAAGTGGAAAATCTAAGAGCGAAAATCTTGAATTCACTTGAGACGGAAAATGCGCAACCTCGAAGAATGGCTTAGATGTTGAGACGTGTATGCCTCTGAAGCATTCGAATAGAACTAACATACAAACTAAAGACAGAAGTGGTATAAACACTGATACATGAATAAACTAGGCCCCAATCTTGGCTGCTTTTAAACACTGGACGAAGAACTGTGTGATTCGCCTACCATTGGACAACCGATATCGAAAATCACGAACGGCAGTACTGATTTCCTTCACTCCAAATGAAATACGTCACAATTTAAAAGGGCATAATACCCATCAACGATCCAGAAGGTTCATCAGAGGAAAAATGGATGTGTCATAGACGCCTATCGTGGAAGCCTAACGGACACTGATATGAGAATGGATGACAAGCATTCCTCTTTCATCTTTTCCATAAGAGATCTTCATTTGGATGCAGTCAATTGAATCAAAGAAAACTGTTGGATCACCAAAACGAACTGAATGCATAGCGCTTTCAACGCCAAATGCCAGTATAAGAGCAAGTTGCACGAAAGCTGCACTTACGTATTTATTGTCGTTTCCTTTCAGCAGCATCCCTGAAGCGTGAGTTCCAGCAAAAACAGGAGCATCGTCGATGACGTTCAAATTTTCAGGAACATCGTTATTCCACAATTCACTTCCATAGAATGCAACCTTCTTTTCACCGAAAGACGACCATGCACCGGGTACCTTATCACAGCCTCGAATGAAGTTATGTATAACATGGGCGGGTTGATCCCAGTTGATTTCAGCTAGTTCTGGTTTGGCAGAAATATGAGGATCATAAGAAGCCCCTTCATCTGTTTGAATGATGTGCGGAGCTCGATTGTTCGCGATAAGATCAACAGCCTCAGCCTAAAAAGTAGCAACTACCATTAACCAGCAACCTCTGCAAAAGTTCAAGGTTTACCATTAAAATTTAATACCTATAAAATTCATTTGCATTTTTTTTTAAATTTAAGTTACTCCATCTTTGAACCTTATTTTATGAGTAATTCATGGTTAAAATTAATAAGGAAAACGTAATCTAATTCAGTCTACACAGTCTAATTCATGCAATAAACCGTAATCCTGTGGTTAAGTTGCAGCAAGTACAACTGGCACCGGCTGTCTACTAATCATTTGATTTAACACATCATATTATGCATACGGAAAACTTTCACTCACTCAGTCAGTCAAAAATAAATAATCATGATCAAATCTTTAAATAAGTCTTAACGTCATGAACCGACGAAATGACAATGCCTGAAACAGTATACCATGGCCTTCACTCCTTCTGGCAAAAGAAATCGCGAGTAGAGTGAATCTACGCTGTCGTTTGGCAGAACAGGGCATTCTTTCTGTAGCAACATGGGACCAGTGTCAAGACCGTCGTCAGCCCAAAATACTGTCAGACCAGCCTTGTCATCACCGTTTATCAAAGTCCTATAACTGCACGTCACATGGAACGATTCTAGGATATAACCCGCACCAGTTAATGGCAGAAGCGCCTCGATGTTTAGGCAACAAAGACGGGTGGTAAACAATGGAATGATGAACGGGATAATTGATAACGTCCATTGGAATGAACTGGGAGCAGAACGCCAATACGTTCAATTCTGGGTTGACACTCTTGTAATTTTCCAACAACTGCGGAATAATCTGAAACAAGATAACATAACAACTTATACCTGTCTGTATACCATAAACGTACTTGTTTATTAGCTCTCCACCGGGCCACTTTGAAAAGAGGAACACCGTCTTTTTGCGCCTCAGCAGCTGAAAGGCAAATCATTAAGATCACTGATCGCTGATACTACAGCAGAGCATCGATACCAAGAGGGTCAGGCCGATTGTTCTTGTCCGGAATTGTGAAAACTCCCACTATTTCATGTCCACGTTCTTTAAGTAGTTTGTAAACTTCAGCGCCAAAGACACTCTGCCCAATGATGGCCAACCGCATTTTGCTGCAATCACCAATTAAGCACATAAATTTTACATCTGAAAGGCAAAGGCGCACCGAACCTTATCAACACGCGCTAACTCGATGATACGTCTTAGAAAGTCAATTTCAGCCGTTTGTAACAAAGGTTGCAGTTTTCCAATCATAGCCAAGACTCAAGAACATAGATGAGCATCGCGAAGAAAACCGACCTGAATATAAACAGGCATGTGTTGAGATTGACATAAGGTTAGCCATAACGATTTGGGGTCATTTACGCAGAACGCCGCTACGCCATTCTAATCTGCCAGAAAATCTCTTCCTTAAATTTTCTATCAATAGTAAATACGACCCCGATGGACTTGAACTCCTTCACCTGCTTCTCTGGGCCTCTGTTAATCTGAAGAGAGCAACCGGCAGGAGAACCAGACGGCACTAGGCTTTTCGTTTTAGATAAGTTCACATGCATGCCGGCCATGCAGCTCGCGGCTTCTTTCCAGAGAGCACTGGAGATCAGTTTCAGAAGATGCCAACAAACCAAGATCGCCTGCAAACAACAGCTGCCTCGTACAGACACCTTTTGCGCTGATTACTCTAGCTGCGCCTGACTATTCCATCTCAATAGAACAGGAGATAGAACGCAGCCTCGGTGTAAACCAATGTTAACACTAAAAGATCTCGAACTGACACTATTTACTATGACGCAGCACCTGCTCTCAGTATATAGTAATACGATAGATCGTAGCAACTGGTCATCGATACCATATGTTCATAGACGTCTACACGATATCCAGTCATATGCTTTCTCTAGGTTCAGAAAGCACATACAAAGCGTACTGGTGAATTTCCAAGATTTCTCAACAACCTGGTAAAGGGCGAATATCTGGTAAGATGTGTTTGCCGCGCCAGAAGCCACACTGCTCTTCTTGCATCTTGGATTTAATTACTCCACGTCACTTCCTTTCTAGCACCTTTGCGTAGACTTTACCTGGGAGGCTCAATAACGTAATGCGCCTATAATTGGAGCACACTCCTTATGGTCTTCGTTCTTGAATAGGGTTACAAAAAGTCCCGTTCTTCAGACCGCTAGTGTCTTTCCCGGAAGCACTGCAGTTGGACAGACACATGTAAACTAGCACATACCTTGTTCGCATACTGATTTAAGCATTTTAGTGCGGACATCAATTCCAGCAGTCTTTTCATCTTAACATTTTCACAGCTTGTATAATTTCATCTATTGAAATAATAATATCCGTTCCCTCCTGCTCTACAGGCGAGTCTTTCTGCGGCTACTACGGGTTAAAGAGTTTCTCGCAGCACTCTCGCTATCGCCAAAGAATGTCCCTATCCTTGATAAGAAGGTGCACAGACCAGTTTTTCAAAACACTTAAAATCTCCTTCTTTTCACTTCAGAGTTGTCGGAAGGTGTGCCAGATTACTCTGGAAATTCGACTCCAACACCTCCCGAATGTTTCACAGGAATCAGCTTTAGCTTTCGTTACAACTTTTCTGACGCCTTGTGCGCTTCCACACAGCATGCAAATAGAAGGCCCTGTGCTTCCAAGCTATTTTCTTGAATGCAACCTTCTTCTCTTTAACTGACAACTATCCTCTCTTGTCAACCAGGAAGTTTTTTCTGACCGTAGGTCAACCCCTTTCAAACCGAAGCATTTGGCAACAGTTTCGAGTATGCCGATCATAAAGAGTTCCCACGCGGTTTTCACAGCAGTAGTCATCATTGGGATCTGTTCAAACCGTCGTGTAATGTTGATCCGCCGAAGATAATGCTTCTCATTCAATCTCTGGTTGCTTCCGCCACCAGATCTTCGTATAGCATTCCATTTCTCATAGCGTAGCGTGCCAACATGGTGGTGATCAGTTGACAGCTCTGCGCTATTCTTAAGTTAAAAATCCAGTGTAAAGCGTCCTAAGTTAGATGATACGATTGTCAAATCGATCATCGTTTTCTGTGCCCAAGCGTCGTCATACCAGACACACAGATGCTCGAAGAGGATGTTCATAGTAGACAGTATATTCTTTGCACAAAACCGCAACAACTTCATGCCGTCATCGTCGAGGTCAGTAGGACAGTTCTTTTCAACGTCCTGATATGCGCATTAGAATACCCCATTAGAATGAGGAAATTTGTATTCGGCACTTGGTACAGAGCACATTTCACTTCTTCAAGGAAAGACTCATTTTCTCCCTCTAAAC